CGTGCCAATACTAGACCGATCTGACTCACGTTGCAGTTTGTTAGGCGATAATAAAAGGCTTCCTCTAGCAGCGGCAAGATCAAACCGTCGCACGGCAGTCGGAGTCTAATGAACCTGAGTTCTAAGTAGCCCATGCCTCGTCCGGGGTTTTAGGTACCTCGGCTGAATTCAAGCTGGGGGTAGCTTCGGGGTCGAACCTCCCTGCGCTGGCCCTTCCGTATCTCTGAGCCCGATTGCCGAGCCCGATTGCAGCTGGTTACCCGGCGATTGCTTCCCTCCATCTCGCAAAGCGGAAATCGGTGCAAACGAAACTTCGTGCATTCGGATCCGCGATACGTAGTTCCGAGAGTGTTATCGTGCGAAAAAAGAACTATGGTACAAGAAGGCAAGGCATATGACTAACACATCTATGTTACAAATGCAATTGGTGAATCAAGGTAGGATTGCACTGAGGAAAACGAGTACAAATGTGCAAACCCATGTTCCACAACCTATCCAAAGGCAAGCTAAGCAACTATTGCCAGTGTAGACAATCTCCTATACAGTCCCCCAGGTCGCCGTATCTCTTCTCTGTCAGCCAACCGCCTGCACCCTTCAATATTCAGATACTGCAGCATCTTCAGTTCAGTCAAATCTCCAGGAAGAGCCTGCAAGTGATCAAATAACTGCAAACTTAGAGTCCTAAGCCTGGTCAATTGTGCAAAATTGGGAGGGAGGGAGCGAATGGCAGAGGCTTTGATCGCCAGGCTGTGAAGGCACGCAAGCTGCGTGAGGGAAGCCGGCAAATACTCCAAGGCAGGGCAGCCAAACAGGCTAAGGCTGCGCAGCCGAGTCAACGCACCGATACCGTCCGGAAGAGCGACCAGACTTTCTGCAACTAAAACCTCCAGCTCTGACAGATTCTGAAGCTCAGTGACGGAATCTCGCAGCGACTTTAGTTCTGGAAAGCAGTGTATCTGCAGGCAGCGCAACTGCTTCACGGCCGACCCGATGGTTTCAGGCAGCCTCTCGATCCTCCCCGCCCTTTGAATCTTCAGGGTGCGAAGCTGAGGGAAGGTGGATAAGGGAACGGGCAGTCCCTCTGTTTCTCTTGCGAGAAACAGTTTCAAGTGCTTCAGATGCGTCATGCTGCTGCTGATTGTCACCGTGTGCTGCTCTACATGTGCGAGATTCAGACCCAACTTCGTCAGCTTCGGCAGCTTCGCGATGTCAGGCAAAAGGATGCTGTCCTCGCAGTTCCCAAGGCTTGCGGCTTCGAGGGACGGCGACAGACTTTCAGGTGGCACTTGCAGCTGGTTACACTCCGTAATCTCCAGCCGCTTCAGCTTCCCCGGGCTTAACAAGCCTCTCGGCACCGAATAGAGCTCCTCACAATCCTCAACTGTGAGAGCCTCGAGATTGGTGGGACGTGTGATGGTATAGGAAGCTTCCGGATGCTGGGGCAGAGGCAGAGATGCAGCTCCGTCAGGTTACGCAGCTCACACACGTTCTTTGTAAGATCGCGGAACATGCACCCATCCAGCTCCAATCTCCTGAGAGAAACTAGCCTAGTGTATGTACACGGCAGCTGCTTTCCAGTGCTGTCCTTCAGGAAGAGAGTTTCGAGACTGGTGAGCCTTCCAAGATCAGCTGGAAGCTTCAAGGGTAGCATTTCCACGAGGCACAGCGTCTTGAGAGCAGGCAGGTTGCAAAAACCTTCTGGGAAGCGGTGGATTTCCATGGCATTTGATCAGAAAGAGAGTCTCCAGAGAGGTAGCTTGGCAGAGGGAATCAGGGAAATATTCGAGAGGCAGTTTATGCAGAACGAGAGCGTTTAGGTGGGGCAGACACCCTATATCTTCGGGCAGGCTGAAGAGTTGGTCGCACTTGGCTAGTATCAAACTCTCCAGATGTCTCAGCGAGCTCAAGCCGTCTTGCGGTAGGTGGTTGAAGGATTTGCAGTTGCAAATGCCCAGTTTGCGGAGGCTAGGAAGAAAGCCCCATATGCCGTCTGGAAGGGCCTGCAGAGGTTCATTATCTGCAATAAGTAACTCTTGGAGGTCTATGCAAGGCAGGCCGGGAGGAAACAGGAGGTGGAATTTAGGGCAAGAGGCATTGACTGTAAGGGACTCCAGGCACGGAAGCTGCGAGATGGAAAAGGCTAAAGACGGCTGATCGTTCTGAAATTCGAGGGTTGTACAGGTTATGGAAAGGCATGTAAGCTTCGGAAGGTGAACGAGGTTTGAAAGATATCCGTCAGTACTGGGGAAAGGATGTGGAGAGTAGAGAGAGACGACAGGTTGGTGAGATTAGGAGACTTGAGCGCTGAAGTGTCTTGTAGCAGGAGGGTGTGCAAGTTAGTCAGATGAAAGAAGGAAGCGGGTAGTTGAGCGTTATTGTGGAGGCATAAAAGCGACAGATGCTCAAGGCGAGTGCACTGCGAAAGGAAATTATCCGAGCCTTCTTCGGTGACCGGATACTCGTCTTTCGCCCCGCCATTGTTCGTCGGTGTGATTCCGCTACCAACGTGCAGCGCCGACAGTTTGGGGCATGCAAAGGCGAGGTGAGCAAGGAAGGCATCATCTAGGGTTTTCACGCTGCCGTCGCACAGATGAAGGGCCGTCAAGTTGGGGAAACTAGCGAGAACATTTGCGAAATCTCGACGGGAAACGGTCAGGTTTTTGCTGACAAGAAGCGTGGAGGTGTGGTGCTTCGCGAGTCGGCGCCAACGGCGGCAGACGGATGCGATGACGAATGTGCGAGCAACATCTACGCATGGTGGTGGATTTAATCGAGCGGTTTTGATTTCGTAATCGTAAAAAGAGGCTTCTTCTAAATTGTGACGGGAAAGGTACCTGGGCTTCTGTTCGAACTGTTCCCATAAAGAGTCACTAGCAGATACGCGAAACAACGGTTCCTTAACGGAATAAGTCATGATGGCGACGAGAAGGTCGTCCGACAGCTGGTTAATGCTCGTTGGCCTAACCGTTTCCTTGCGCGTCACTGTGTCCGCCATGGCGAGCTTGATGATTTAGAAGCTGATGAGAGCTTGGGAAAAGCACTATGGGCAAAGGCATGCGAGTGATCAAGCAAGGTGCTGGGTCAAATCGTAGTTTCTTTGCTGGGTGTGAGCATCCTGCTGGATGGTTCTGGTTCTGACTAAAGATCAGAGTCGCTACTGAGGACGCGAGTCTGGCTTACAAGCTGTGTTAAAAAAAATGTAAATTTTCACTCACATGCAAATCTACTATTTTCATGAACATACATGCTTTTGCAAATTGCTGTACAATGCAGCGCATCTCCATGCAGAGAAATGCATTTTGTGTTAGCTGCGAATCGTACGACCCTGCCACTTGAAACTAAAGACGTTGGATCAATTGTTGTTATTTGGTATAAGAATCAATGTCGAGTTCCAAGCGGGTACATAATGCGTTTAATTTTCCAACTTGCACTTTTGCAAGCACTAACATACTCGGCGCCATTGTGTACAACACTGTCACTCCTGAAGGCTCTGCAGTTCAAGTAATGCCCAAGGTTATCATACCCACCTCGAGACCTGTCGGTTGTGTCGTACGCGCTGCAAGCACTGTGTGTCCACCTCCAGGAGAGCATGGCAAGCACCCAATGGCAGGCTTTTGAAGAATTGAGGTGGAGAGAGAGTAGCTATGCTGAGGATGGTGGAACTGGAGGTTGTAGTGGTAGAGGTAGGAGAGGGAAAGGGGAGTGAAGTAGGACGCAGCAGGTGAACCCATATATTGTCTCTTTGAAGAGGGGGAAGGAGCAGACATGTGAGGAGAGAGGGGTGAAGAAACAGATGAGGAACGGAGGATCAGGGGCAGAGACGTCGCCTCTCAAGTTGTCTTTTGGGGTGAGATGAAACAAGGGTTGGAGGGGAATCAATAGTATAGATTCACAGAAATGATGACTCAGAAACAATAAGGCGGATCATGATGAGGCAAGGTAACCTTATAGCTAAGAACAGTCCCAATTTGCCCCTCGCTGGCTTGAGCTAGAGAGAAGTGCAACTCAAAAGATGGGGAAGGGGACTGAAACGGACATCGAGTGTACGGATGGATACAGTACACCTCTACCCCGCCAATTTCAACACCTGGGCCCCGAATCGCGTCTTTGTCGTTTAGCTTCGTGTTGAAATTGGTGGGGAACAGAGAAGTTCCGATAGTCAGCGCGGTTTCACTCGGTTTCGTAATTCTCATAACCGTGATACAGGTGTTTTAGTCGGTTCTGAGCCTTGTATAGAGGTTGTGAGGCCGAACCGCGCTCGGCCCAGGACCACAGGTCGAGACAAAGGTGTTGAAATTGCCAGGAATTGAAATTAGCGCGGGACAGGTGTACACGGATTGCATGGCATGCCAACTGAACCGTGTCGCATTGCATTGCTGCGCCAATTTTCTCATCAATGCGCGACTGTCAGGCTCTTCTGTTTACACACTACCAAGTTCGTCGTACGGGGTCAAACTTGGTCAGTGTTCGCAGAAAACCCTACCCAACCATCTGGATTATTTATTAGACCGCTCTGGGTCGAGTACAAACCTTTTTCAACCCCATTCGGACGTACTCTTTTGACCCGCCCTTACGTCGTACGGGGTGTTTTAGATTTGGCGCGAGGATCTAATTGGGTGCGAAAGCAATGCAGCTGGATAACTGTCAGGCGACGCTGGCGACCATAGTCACCCGCTCAAATCAGGTTTGGTTTTCAAATTATCCACAGTTGACATCCGCGATTCGGTAGCCAGTTAGACCATATATTCGGTAGCCAGTTAGACCATAACTTGCCCTCAACCCTGGATCTCTCTCGCCTCGCCCCCTCTATCAACCCGACGAGCTCATTCGGATCATTTTCGACCTCACAGATCATCTGATCGCTGCGCTCGAGGTGACACGTGTTTCCACGTAGATTCTTTTGAGTGTGTAAGTGAGCAGTCTTCCGGGGTTACTAATCTTATTTGTGTAATTTTTTTTTGTTACAGGAGACAATCAGCCAAGTAAACAGTTAGCTTGCGATGGCGAAAAGAAGCGGCCGCGCCCGCGACAGCAGGCTGCTAGCTCTCCCCGACGAGCTCCTCAACATCATTCTCGGCCTCGCAGATCACCCATCCGATCGCCGCAACGTCGCGCTCTCCTGCTCCCGCCTCCGCCGCCTCTCTCGGCGCACGCCGCACGCGCTCCGTCTCGAGTTCCACTCCAATCCAGGGGCTGCGAATATGCGAGAATGGTTGAAAAAACTCGATGATTATTCGAGGGTATTCACCCACGTGACGGATCTGACCGTGGATACCAGTGGTCTCGCAAATCCGATCATAGCGGGGATTGCAGCGGGCTGCCCGAAGTTGCAAAAACTGAAGTTGGTGACGGCTTGGGATAGTTTCAACGACAACGTTCGAGATTGGCGAAATCTCGCGAAGCAATGCCCGTGAGTTGCCGTTTCGTGCCTTTCTATCCCTCGAAACCCGTCCGCCCAATCCGTCTGTCCGACCGTCCGTCCCTCCCTCCCTCTCTCTCCCTCCCGTGTTTCTAATCGGACTCTCCTCATAGACCTTCACCACATTCCCTCCCCATTCGCCCCTTCCCCCCTTGCACGCTCGTGACATCGTTGGGGCTAAATTTCCGCTATGGGCGCTCGCCTTTCTTCTACACGCAGCAGCCGCCTCTCTTCCCCGTGCACCTCCTCCCCTCACTGCAATCCCTTTCTCCCATCTTCATCCCCTCCCCTCCCCTCGCCGCTGCGCCCTTACCCCTTCATGCAGGCTCTTGACGTCGTTGGAGCTCAACCCGCTCTATGAGTCCTCGCGTCTGTTCACAGGCGACTCGCCTGATGTTCCCGTGCACCTCTTCCCCTCACTGCAATCCCTTACGCTCCACTACGATCCCGACAACTGCCGCCCCGTTCTCCGCTGCTCCTCCCTCACATCTCTCACCCTCTGGGACCTCGATTCTTCCACCCTCTCCTCCCTTGCCTCCCCCGAATCCTCTCTCCGCGCGACTCTCAAGTCGCTCACCATCCACTCCGCCGAACTTCAGGGCTCCCTCGCGCCCCTCGCCGTCTTCTCCGCCCTCACCTCCCTCTCCTTCCACTCCTGCACCATCGACCCGTACGAACTCAGCTCTCTCTCACGCTCCCTCCACTCCCTCACCCACGTCACCATCCACTCCTCCCCATTCGTCTCCTCCTCTTCCCTCCTCCCCATACTCCAAGCCAACCCTGATCTTTCCTCTCTCTCCCTCCACGGAACCACCTATCGTCTGTTCGACGCACAGGGCTTGCGCTCTCTTCTCTCTCGCTCCTCCTCCCAGCTCCGCTCGCTCCACCTCGCAGGTCTACCCTGCCTTCGCCCCGGCTTGCTTGCGTCCTGCGGTGCCCTGCAGTCACTGACTTTGGAAGGGGTGGTCGATTCCTCGAACGCTTTGCTGCCGTGCGCTGTATAGTTGGACCGCCTCGTGGGTATGCTTGTGCGCGTTGAGCGGAGAGGAGTGCGAGGAACGGAAACAGGACGAGAGGCAGGAGCGGAAGCAAAAGGGGATGGTGGCGTAGCAGACGCATCGAAGAAAGCACATGCGGGTGCTTCTGCAGCAGCACGGGTATTCCCGAGAGGGGGCGACAAGCAGTGGGAGAAGTTTGTGGATATTCGCAGAGAGGCAGAAGCAGCGCTGCAAGAAAGGCTTGTAGCGGCCAAGGATGTAGTCCAACTCTCCAAAACAGCCTTGGAAGCCACCAAAGAAGCCCGTAGCTTCGCACAGTGGGCGGAAGGCGTGCAGGGTGCGTCTGCCATGCCTGAGATCAGCCTCGGGAAGTTCAGGCTCGCGATCTCGACATGCCGGGCCTTTATCGCTGGGATCAGGAAGGCCAAAGCGGCTATCAAGTGGGAGGAGGCGCTGCTGCGGGCGTTTGCTGCCGCTGCTGCTGCTGCTGGTGGTGGTGGTGGCTCGAATATGGCAACTACTGATGATTTACCTGCTGCTGCTGCTGCTGCTCACCAGGCACCAGGGTTCTTTGCTACGGAGCTGGATTTCGAAGAAGAGGACAGGGATGGGGAGGATACAGACGAAGGAGATGGAACCAGCGGCATGGATTACATGCTGCCTGGTGATGGTTTGCCTGGGAGTGTGCTCGGTGGGGTGCGGTCTGGTGTGGTGGAGACACGTGAGGCCCTGGGGAGGCTGAAAGCGCAGTTACATGAGCTGTGGGACCTCCCTAATTCCATGCTTGAGAGCTACAATTCCATGTTGTCACGCATCTCTGCTTTCAATCCCACCCTTGCACGGCCAGTGGCGGATGCGGCAGCGGCAGGAGGTGGGGCAGCAACACCAGGAGGAGGATCTGGAGCAACACCAGGAGCAGCAGCAGCTCGTGGGGGGGCAGCAGTGCGTGGGGGAAGGGCAGCAGTGCGTGGGGGAAGGGCAGCAGTGCAAAGAGTGAAAGAAGGGGCGACGGAAGCATCGCAACGGGTGGAAAGCATGCTCGGAGAGGCGGCAGCAGGGGGGGCGGAAGTTGGGAAGGCGGCAGCAGGGAAGACGGCAGCGGGGGAGACGGCAGCGGGGGAGACGGCAGCGGGGAATGCGGCAGCGGGGAATGCGGCAGCGGGGGATGCAAAACTAAGCAGCAGAAAGTCAAGCTTCAAGCATTCTGAAGGATGCCTAGCAGCAGTCCCTGTGCAAGTCTACTGCCCTCCGCTGGGGTCGTTGACCCTCCAATCCCTCTCCTTCGCCTCCACTCCCCATTCCCCCATGCTACCTCCCACGCTCTTTTCTTCGTCTCCTCGCATGTATCTCTCCTCCCCCTCGCCACCATCCTACTCATGTCACTCATCCGCCTCCTCTTCCCACTCCTCATCTGCCCCATGCCCAAGCGGTCTCCCAATGTCCTTTGAGGCCCTCGCCCGAGCTGCTGCCTTCAGGCAGCTCAAGCAACTGACCTTGGTGCGCTGCTGTGGGTTGAAGGAGCAGGAATGGCTTGAACTGCTCGGAGCGTGCTCTAAGTTGGAGGAGCTAAGGGTGTCTCAAAATGACACATTGTCAGACGCAGTGGTGGCGGGAAGCAGACTGGCAACCCTCACTAGTTTGACTCTGGTCATGTGTGAAAAGATTACAGCAACAGGCATTGGAGGAGTTTTCACAAGCTTCCCTAGATTGCGTTACTTGGAGGTGGAAGTGGGAAAGGTTTCGAACAGGGCACGGAGAGAAATGCTTCGTGCTGGCGTAGTTGTTGGAGGAGCAGGGTGTAACCACGCAACAGCGAAGAAATGCCTTTCTCAAGAAGAGTTATGACTGAATGCATTATAATCACAGTTGATACAGGGGAGTGGAAGGTTGGGGATAGAGAAATTTCACTGGAAGGTTGGGTGGTATGACATGGCTTGTGGTGGAGCACACACCAAACATTTCTGGGGGGGAAGGGGGAGGAGAGAGGGAAGGCTGGGGAGAAGGGCATGCAAGACAAGTGTGTTCTCCACCGTTCTCGCCATTCTCAGACAAACGCTCAACTATGCCTCTGGAGCACCTACACTCGGAGTTGCCACCCTTACGATGCACTCACACTTGCTGATCACGCACCACTCACCACGACACTCCTTGGCACTGGCATCGTAGGCTTGAGACTCAGGGTACAGGCACTTGCGCTTGCCGTCCCTCAAATGCACTTAGCTGCTGCCCCACAGTTGACATCGCAGCCTTTGGAGAAGCATGGGGCCTTCGTGAAGGCAGGGGGGAGGGAACGTGGGAAGTCTATTTTTGAGGCGCCTAAAAAACAGGCACTTACGCTACGCTCGCCTTCCCTCACGATGCACTTAGCCACTGCCCCACAGTCCAGACCGCAGCCTTTGTAGAAGCATGGGGCGTTTGTGGAGGCGGAGAGGAGGGAAAGTGGGAAGGAGGAAGGAGAAGGATGAAGCAGGAAGGCTCATGGCACTTGGTGCCAGGGGCGGTAGAATAGTGTGCGCTCAATTGAGCCGACTAGACTTTGCAGAGTATTTTTGAGAGACGCCAGTCTGCTGCGCAGGCAGGGCGACACAGCCAGGCCCCTGTTGGACAGGCAGACTGCCCTGGGCACTGCTCGAAGGGGAGTGTGGGAGAGAGGGGGGGAGTGAAGCAGGGAGTGTGTAGGGGATGAGTGGGGAAGGTGAGAGTGTGGCAGGGAAATGCAGACGGGTAAGCCGCCTGCCCTGGGCACTGCTCGAAGGGGAGAGGGGGAGAGAAAAAGGTACCAGGAGAGAGGTTTAGGACGGAGAGGCTGACTGCCCTGGGCACTACTCGAAGGGGAGAGTGTGGGAGAGCAGGGGGGTGAGAAACAGAGAGCGTGCAGTTTGTGAGGAAGGTGAGAGTGAGGCTGTGCAATGAGCATCCAGGCCCCAGTTGAGTAAGCAGGAGGCGCTCATTACACTCATGAGGAATTGGAACAGGGGGAGAGTTTGGATGCGGATGGGGCGGGGTGCGGGGGATTGAAGGTTTGAAAGGCTGGCAGGGGAATGCAGCCAGATCCCATTTCGGCAAGCTGGCTGCCCTGGGCAGGGCACTGGCTGATGGAACAAGTGGGGGAGAGGGATGAAGACCGAAGGGAGAGGAAGCAGCGGCCCTCTGAAGCGAGGTCTGCTGCTGTGCAGACAGGGAGACTCAGCCAGGTCTCCCGAATGGGCAGAGGGTAAGTCCTGTACTGAATTAGTGCCCAGCAAGAAGCCTCGAGGTGCCTCAAAAACGACGGGCAAGGAGACTTCACCCCAATCACCCAACCCAATCACCCAACCCACTCACCCAACCCACTCACCCAACCCACTCACCCAACCCACTCACCCCACTCACCCAAACAGCCCACTCACCCCAGTCACCCTCAATGCCCACTCAACCCACAAACACCCCACTCACCTGCACGGAGGCCTTGGGCAGGTGGGCAACGGCATCCAAGCACGAGGTGCAGCAAGAGAGGGGCATGACCCACCCACACACCCCTTTTACCCACTCAACCTACTCACTCACACACACACCCCACTCAACCCACTCACCTGCACACCCACTCACTCCACTCACCAGCACACCAGGAACGGTTATTCCTATAGGAGCCGTTCAAGAAAGTGACTGAAACGGAAGGAACAGGAATAGGGGGCGGGAGGAGGGGTAAATAGTCAAGTTTCAGGGTTTAGGTGTAAAAGCTTGCGGTTTGGTGGGGTATAAACAGAAGTCAGAAGGCCCATGCGAAAGGGGTTTGATAGGTCGTCATCAGCATTGGTGCCGTTGAAGAGAGTGACTGGAAAAAGAAGGAAATGAGAGCCGCACAGAGGGGTTGACAAATTAGAAGGGGTACAGAGGGGTCGGGGAAATTGAGTGGCGCTGGACTGATCGTCTTACATGGGCTGAAGAGGCTCAACTGCTCTCATAGGTATGATAGGTCATCCGCAATTGTGTGGTGAACCGACATGAGTGGACATGGTGAAGCTGGGGAAGGAATGTGGGAAAGCGAAAAAAATACAGCTAAATGGGGAGAGGACTAGAGGGGAAAGTGTAGGGGCAACACTAGAATCGAGGAGAAAAGGGAGACAAAGAGCAGCAGTGTGCTTTCCAGCGGCAAATATCTGAGGCGACCGGACCAAAAAAACAAAAAAAAAAACCAGCTGCATGTACGTCTCTTCACCATACACTCCAATAACTCACCTTCAGTCATTACAGCCATTCCTCCCCTCCTGTTCTCAGCAAACTGTTGCTCTGCTCCTGCTGTGATTCATCTGCGATTCATCTGCAAGAAAAGAACTGCAGGGACTGGTATTAACAGAACGACCACCTGGGATCATCTGACATGTATGAGCCTCTAGTCTGAACTTATAACAGCTTATAATACAAAATCACTCTACATAGGCCCTGTATCATATACAAGAAACAGCAGGAGGACGACCCAACAGGAAACAAGGCTACATCAACCAATGAAATATGATCACCACAGTACTACATTGCTGCCGTGCTAGTATCTAATAAAGGTCAGCCCATGCATGTCACGGAGGCCACAGCGCAGTGCACGAGACATGCCATTGATCGCTTGCTTGCACCCTTTCACGTTCAAGTGTTGCAGCACCTTCAGCTCCGTCAAATCTTCTGGCAACGCCTTCAATCGCTCACAGCCAGACAGGCTGAGCCACCTCAGCCCAGTCAGCTGCGCGAACTCAGGAGGAAGGGAGCTGATGGAAGTTTTCTCAACTTTAAGTGTGCAGAGGCAGCGAAGCTGTGTGAATGAAGACGGTAGTAGCTGCAAGGCCTTGCATCCTGACAGGTCCAGCTCCCGCAGCCTAGATAGTGCACAGATGCTATCAGGGACAGATGTCAGCTTGGGTGCAACAAGCATTAACGCTGTCAGGTGTTGGAGCTGTGAGAAAGTTTCTGGTAGCTCCCTAAGCTCTTCGAGGTCGTGTAATCGCAAATCGCGCAGCTGCTGCAAAGCCGAACCGATGCTTCGTGGAAGAGTCTGAATCAACTCTGCACCAGAGATACTCAAGAGGTGGAGCTGAGAAACAGATGTCAGGAAGATCGGAAACTCATGAACGTTGTCTGCCAACCCCAGATCCAACTCCCTCAGACAAGGCGGCAGAGAAATCTGCGGCAGTGAATCAGCCCGACTGTTTCTGTACCAAAACAGAACCTCAAGGGAGAGTGGCAGCGACAAAGGAAACCCACACAGCTGTCTGCACCTTGTTACCCTCAAACACTTCAGCTTCGTAAGGCATTTTAGCCTTCTTGGCAGCACAGTGAGCTGTTGGCAATCCTCAATGACCAAGGTCACAAGGCTAGTGAGGCCTTTAATGGAAAGTGGTATCTTTGTGACAGCGTCACAGTCATGAATGTAGAGATGCTGCAGGTTACTCAAGTTGTCCAGACCCTTGGGAAGCACGGTAAAAGCGCACTTGCCAAGCTCAAGACTCTTTAGAGAAATCAGCTGTGCAAGGAAACGGAAGAGCCGCTGATCTGTGCATCGATGCAGATGAAGGGTCTCGAGAGATGTGAGGCTGCAAAAATCTGCTGGAAGCTGGTGGATCCAACAGCAGCCACGCAGGAACAGCTTTTCCAAAGATGTAGCTTGGCAGAGGGAGTCAGGTAGCTTGCGGAGAGGCAAGTTCTCCAGCATCAGTGACTTGAGCGCAGGCAGCTGTCCAAATTCCTCGGGGAGCCTTCTAAGCAAGCACTTGGTGATTGAGAAGCACTCCAATGCTGTTAGGGCTGTAATGTTATCGGGGAGTTGGTGAAGATTAGAACAATCCCGAAAGGCCAGCTGACGGAGGCGTGGCAACAGCTCTCCGATGTCATCCGGAAGGCGCCGGAGATTGGAGTTGGTGATCACCAGCTGTTCCAGGCGATTGCACGGTGATCCTGGGGGAAAAAATGAAGTGAAGCTGAGATTGGAAATCTGGAACTCAAATGACTTGAGATGAGGTAGCTGAGCTAATAGGAAGATTGCAGCTGGTGGGTCATTCTTGAGGAGGCAGGTTTCACTGGAAATCATGAGTCGGGAGAGTCTTGCAATGCGAGCGAGGCTTGACAACTGCTCATGTGTCAGTTTGAAAACAGTAACATGGAGGGATGTAAGCGATGTAAGTCTTGCAAACTCGGCAAATCTGAACGCTGAAACGTTGGTGAGAGAAATTGTGTGGAGATGCTGCAGCTGAAAGAACGAATCTGGTAACTCTGTATCTTTATGGAGGCAGTGAAGTGTAATCTCCTCCAGGTGAGTGCAGTTAAAAAAGAGATTCTCCAGACCGGCTTCAGTAACTGGGTGCTCATCCTTGCTTCCTCCACATTCCGTCGGTGTGATCCTGCGACCCACGTGAAGGGCTTTCAGCTTAGGCCGTGAGGAAGCAAGGCGAGCGAGGAAAGCATTGTCAATCATGTCGACACTGCCGTCGCTAAGGTGAAGATTCGTGAGGTTGTCAAAACAGGCCACAGCGTTCGCCAGATCTTGGTGAGATACAAAACAGTTCTCCTGGACTGACATGCTGGTGACCAAACGCTTAACTAGGTGACGCCACCGACTACATACGGACGCGATGAGCAGATTAGATGCCGCATCTGTTAAGGCTGGAGGAATAAACTTGTTCGCCCTAAAATGCCAAAGAGGAAGCGAGTCACATGAGGAATCAGAACCTCTTCGTAAAGGCATCCCATGCTGAAACCATAGAATCCTTGTGAGAAGGTCATCTGAAAGTCGATCAATGTGTGAGAGACGCTCCATCTAAACTTCACGGATCGACAGCAAGGACTGCTTAGAAGGGTATGAAACGATATCTCCTTTCCCAGATCTAAAATGACAAGAACATTAAGAGAAGTCGCTCATACGCGGATCTCACAGTCTCAGCTCCTCGTTCCGTGTGAAAACACGCAGCACCATTCGCTTGCTGACCTGCGGTTTGGAGGTAGTCAAGTACGCGCCGTGCTTGTGTTGTAGGAAGAGCTGTCGATCTCAGTGGAGACGCTTAGGCCTTGTCGAAGCTGGGCATGGTGGCTGATGTGCTTTCCTATTCTCGAGATCGCCCATGGCTAGACCTGACGAAGCAGCAGGCGAGCGAGAGCTTTCTTGGCTTCATGGGATCACCTACAGAAAGCCCAAGCTGGGCTAAGCTGACTAGATTTCGCGCTGGACACAACTTCACCTGACAGGGCTTGGGCTATGCTGCAAGGGAATCTCGCTCTGGGTATGTGTTCTCACCCTGACGAAATCACTGTGCTTGCTCGGCTCGGCTCGGCTCAAATTGATCTGGCTCGGCTAGAAACGGTTCGGCTCGGCCAAAATCTACTTGGCCTGGCTCCGTCTCAATTCGACTTTGCAAGCGAGTCCGACATTCAGCGACAATACTTCGTGTGTGAGGGGGAAAACGGTGTGAAGAGGGTTAGCGAACAGCTGAAATATGTAACCCGATTTCCGAAATATTATTCCCCCGGAACCACTTGCACCTGTCTTGAGCAACCCTTAGCTTCCATTCGTAGCAACTCTGGTATTTGCCCTTCGTTGATTCACCTATCTCGCAATGGCAGACACAGCGGCGATCAATTGCTCGGGAACGACTACGCCAACGGGGATTAGCCATTTGCCTGACGACGTTCTCGTGATTATTCTGGCGCATTCCGTTAAGGAGCACGTTTTCCGCAGATCCGCTAGTGACTCTTTATGGCAGCACTTCGAACAGAAGCCGAGGTCCCTTCCGAGCACAACTTAGAAGAAGCCTCATTTTCATACCAGAAAGTAAAAACCGCTTTACCAATCCCGCCGTCATGCACAGACGCTGCTCGCACACTTGCCATCGCGTCCGTCTGCCGCCGTTGGCGGCGTCTCGCTCAGCACCACACCTCCACGCTTCTTGTCAGGGAAGACCTGAATGTTTCCCGTCGAGATCTCGCAAATGTTATCGCTAGTTTCCCCAACTTGACGGCCATTCATCTGTGCGACGGCAGCGTGGAAACCCTAGACAACGCCTTCCTCGCTCACCTCGCCTCTGCGTGCCCCAAGCTGACGGCGCTGCACGTGGGAAGCGGAATCACGCCAACGAACAATGTCGGGGCGAAAGACGAGTATCCGATCACCGAAGCAGGCTTAAATCATTTCCTTTCGCAGTGCACTCGTCTTGAGCACCTTTCGCTAAGCTGTCTTCACAAGAATGCTCAACTACCCGCTTCCTTATTTCAGTTAGCTAACCTGCACACTCTCCTACTACAAGATGCTTCAGCACTCGAATCTCCCATCCTCACGAACCTACCTTCTCTCACATCTCTCCACGTTCTTTCCCCAGTACTGACAGATCACCATCTTTCAAACCTCGTTCACCTTCCGAAACTTACAAGCCTTTCCATTACCTGTACATCCTGCGAATTTCAAAACCGTCGACCATCTTCAGCCTTTTCCATCTCGCAGCTGCCGTGCCTGCAGTCCCTTACAGTCAATGCCGCTTGCTCGCAATTCGACCTGCTGTTTCCTCCCGCCTCCCCTTGCACACACCTCCAAGAGTTACTCATTTCTGATAACGATTCGCTGCAGGCCCTTCCAGACGGCATGGGGGACTCGCTTCCTTGCCTCCGCAAACTTACCATCCGCAACTGCAAATCCCTCACCCACCTGCCGCCTGACGGCTTCAGCTCTCTGAGGCATCTGGAGAGCTTGACATTGGACAATTGCAATCTACTTTTCAGCCTGCCCGAAATTATTGGGTTTCTGCCCCGGCTGAACACCCTGGTGCTGCAGGATCTGCCTCTCGACTATCTCCCCGACTCCCTCTGCCAAGCCGCATCTCTGGAGAATCTCTTCCTGATCAAATGCTACAGAATCAGTCGCTTTCCGGAGGGTTTCTGCAGCCTGCCTGCTCTCAAGACGCTGTGCCTCGTGCAGGTTCTATTCCTGAAGCTTCCAGCGGATCTGGGAAGTCTCACCAGTCTGCAAACTCTTTTCGTGAAGAGCAACTCTGGAAAGCAGCTGCCGTCGACGTTCACCCGGCTGGTTTCCCTGAGGAGATTGAAGCTTGATGGCTGCTGCTTTTTCGATCTTCCAGAGAGCGTGCACGAGCTTCGTAACCTGACGGAGCTGCATCTCTGCTTCTGCCCCAACTTCAGGAAGCTTCCCGAGTCCATCACACGCCTCAGCAATCTCGAGTCCCTCACAGTGAATGGTTGTGGGAAGCTCTGTTCGGTGCCAAGAAGCTTGTTAAGCCTGGGGAAGCTGAAGCGGTTGGAGATTGGGGAGCTGCAAGTGCCATCTGAAAGCCTTCCACCCTTCCTTCAAGTCATAAGCCTTTTTTCGCTGCCAAGGAGCCTGTTAAGCCTGGGGAAGCTGAAGTGGTTGGAGATGGGGGAGTGTGACCAGCTGCAAGTGCCACCTGAAAGTCTCCCCCCCTCCCTTGAAGTCATCAGCCTTGGGACCTGCGAGCACAGCATCCCTCTGCCTGACGTCTCAAACCTGCCGAAGCTGACCAAGTTGGGTCTCAACCTGGTGGGTGCAGGGGACGCGGTGAGAATCAGCAGCAGCGTGCCGCATCTGAAGCACTTGAATCTGATTCTCACAGCAGAAGCAGAGGAGCTCTCATTCCCCCTGTCCGCTTGCCCTCAGCTACGCACCCTGGAGATTTCAAGGGCTGGGAGGATCGAGAGGCTGCCAGAAACCATCGGGTCGGCCGTGAAGCAGTTACGCTGCTTGCGAATAGACTGCTTCCCAAAACTGAAGGCGCTGCCAGATTCCATCACTGAGCTTCAGAATCTGTCAGAGCTGGAGGTGTTTGCTGCAGAAAGCCTAGTCGCTCTTCCGGCCGGTATCGGTGCGTTGTCTCGGCTGCGCAGCCTGATCTTGTTTGGTTGCCCTGCCTTGGAGTATCTGCCTTCTTCCCTCACGCAGCTTACACGCCTTCACAGGCTGGCGATCAAAGCCTCTGCCATTCGCTTCCTCCCTCCAAGCTTCGCACAGTTGACCAAGCTCAAGACTCTTACTTTGCAGTTATGTGACCAGCTGCAGGCTCTTCCTGGCGATTTGACTGAGCTGAAGATGCTGCAGTATCTGAATGTACAAGGGTGCTGGCGGTTGGCTGACAGGGAAGAGATACTGCGACCTGGAGTTATACACAGGAGATCTACGCTGACGATACTTGCATAACTTGCCTTCAGTTGGTTGTGGAACATGAAGGTGTATACGGTACCGGGCCCAAAGCGTCAACATCTCATGCTTTATATATCCATGTCAGAAACAAATGTATTCTAGTTTATTCTTAATGCAGTGGAATTTGCAGCTGAGTGGCACCCGTGTGATCTACTATGCAAGTGCAGACAAAGTCACACTGTCTTGCAATGACACTCCTTACCAGCCTGCCTGAAGAGGTCGGGTGTCTGCCCCAGCTGAAAACACTCGTGCTGCATAAACTGCCTCTCGAAAATCTCCCCGACTCCCTCTGCCGAACCACATCTTTGGAAACTCTTTTCCTGATCAAGTGCCACAGAATGCACCTCTTCCCGGAAGGTTTCTGCAGCCTGCCAGCACTCAAGACGCTGTGCCTCGTGCAGGTGCCACGCTTGAAGCTTCCAGCCGATCTTGGAAGGCTCACCAGTCTGCAAACTCTTTTCGTGAAGGACAACTTCGGAAAACAGCTGCCACTGACATTCACCCGGCTGATTTCCCTGAGGAGATTGGAGCTGGATAGCTGCATGTTCCGCGATCTCCCACAGGGCGTGGGTCAACTGCGTAACCTGACCGAGCTGCATCTTTGCTTCTGCCCCAACATCAGGAAGCTTCCTGAGTCCATCACACGCCTCAGCAACCTTGGGTCTCTCACAGTGGAGGATTGTGAGAAGCTCGTTTCGGTGCCGAGAAGCTTGTTAAGCCTGGGGAAGCTGAAGCAGTTAAAGATGGCAGGGTGTGACCAGCTGCGAGTGCCACCTGACAGTCTTCCTCCCTTTCTTGAAGTCATCAGCCTTGGGAACTGCAAGCACATCATCCCGCTGCCTGACATCTCGAATCTGCCAAAGCTGACAAGGCTGGGTCTGAACCTGGTGGGTGCAGGGCACGCAGTAAGAATCAGCACCAGTGTGACGCATTTGAAGCACTTGAATCTGGTTCTGGCTGCAGAAGCAGAGGAACTGTCCTTTCCATTGTTCGCTTGCCCTCAGCTACGCACCCTGGAGATTTCAAGGGCTGGGAGGATTGAGAGGCTGCCTGAAACCATTGGTTCGAATTTGAAGCAGTTACACTGCTTGCGAATACACTGTTTCCCAAAACTGAATGCGCTGCCATATTCTGTCACTGAGCTTCAGAATTTGTCAGATCTGGAGGTTTTTGTTGCAGAAAGTCTAGTCAACCTTCCGGCCCGCTTCGGTGCGTTGTCTCGGCTGCGTAGTCTGAGCTTGTTTGGTTGCCCTGCCTTGCAGCATCTGCCTGCTTCGCTCACGCAGCTTGCATGCCTCCACAGCCTGGCGATTAGAGCCTCTGCCATTCGCTTCCTCCCAACCGATTTTGCACGGTTAGCCAGGCTCAAGAGGCTCAGTTTGCAATTGTGCGAGCAGCTGCGGGCTCTTCCTGGAGATTTGACTGAGCTGAAGATGCTGCTGTATCTGAATGTTGAAGGGTGCAGGCGGTTGGCTGGCAGGGAAGAATTTTTTCGACCTGGAGGAGTGTATATGAGAATGTCTACACTGACGATTGTTGCTTAGCTTCCCTTCTGATAAGTCATATAAGGCATTAGTCATATAAGGTTGTATGTGCGGACCGTATCATCCTTGTCCAATTCGTATCAATGCAAAGACGAAACCCACAACAAATAATACTACCGGTAACTCGCACGAATACAGTAAACGTTAGGATACAGACACTACGAAGCATTGGTGTTGTGGAAACGCCATCAGCCAAGGAAGGCTTGATGCTGAGTGTTGGGCTAAAAAAAATGGAAGTGCTGCTACCCAGCCTAAACCATCAGCCCCGTTTGCTGATGCTCCTTCATTCAAGCCACTGCAGAATTAAAAGGAAGATACAGTAGGAGGAACAGGGTGTAGCCGTGCAACATGGAAGAAATGGCTGATTCAACATAATTTATGGCTGAATATGTTCAAATTGGATAGAGGAGAGTGGTTGGCTAGGAATAAAGAAAGTTAGAAAGTTAACTGCGAATGAACACCCGGGGTTGCCTCCCTCAGGATGCACTCACAGACAACAATCAACTCACCACGGCACTCCTTAGCTCTGGCATTGTCGGCTTTAGACCCCCCTGGCACAGACACTTGCGCTCGTCGTCCCTCAAAATGCACTTAGCCACAACCCCACAGTTTTAAGTCGACCCAGAACTCGAACCACGATGCACTCACACTCGCTGATCAGGCGCCACACACTGATCAAGCACCACTCACCATGGCACTCCTTGGCGCTGGCATCGTAGGCTTGAGACTCAGGGCACAGGCACTTGCGCCCGCCGTCCCGCTCCCTCAGCACAGAGCGGGTGGCTCACAGTCCATACTGCAGCCTAGGGGGAAGCACGGCGAGTTTTTTTTTTTTTTTTTTTGGCGCCTAAAAAACAAAGTCCATACTGCAGGCTAAGGGGAAGCACGGGGAGTTTGTGGAGGCAGGGACAGGGAGGAGGGAGGAGGAAAAGTGGGAAGGAGGACGGAGAAGGCGGAAAGAGCACTTTGCGTTTGCCGTCCCTCAGTATGCGCTTAGCAACTGTCCCGCAGTCCAGATCGCAGCATTTAGGGAAGGAGGAAGGAGAAGATTGAAAGAGCAAGGCCTATGGTACAAATCAGGCAGTTTGGATCAGTCAGTGACGATTTTCTTGCAGTTGGTACCAGGGATGGCAGAATTTGCGCGTGTGCATAAGAAGCCGACTAGACTTTTCAGGGTAGTTTTGGGATCACTCACAAGAATACCCATCAAGCAGTTGAAACCAGTTAGTCACGATCCTAGGGCACTTGGTACCAGGGATGGTGGAATAATGTGCATGTAATAAATCCGCCGACTAGACATATGCAACAACACAGCAAGAGACTCCCTCGGAGTGGTGCCATGCCTGTGCATATGACATGTGCGACGAAATTTTAGCGCCTTTTCAGGCGCCTCAGAATCAGTCTTTTGAGGCGTCTGGAAAATGTGAAACGCATCAAAGGCGTTTCATGCATATGAAAACGCATCAAAGGCGTTTCAGGCATATATATAAACGTGCATCAACGAGGCTAGGTACCAGTTGGGCAGAGCATAGATACATCAATTAGTGCACCCACCTGCACAACCCACGCACCTGCACAGCCCACCCACCTGCACAGCCCACCCACCCTACTCGCCCTACTTATCCCACTCAACTCAGACACCCCACTCACCCTACTCACCCCACTTATCCCACTCACCCCAGTCACCCCACTCACCCCACTCACTGCACTCACCCCAGTCACTCCACTCACCCCGCTCACTCCACTCACCCCGCTCACTCCACTCACCCCACTCACCCCAGTCACTCCACTCACCCCGCTCACTCCACTCACCCCACTCAACCGACCAGCCCAGCTCACTCACAAAAGGACTTCGGCAGTGCAGAGCTCCCTCCCAGCGTATGTTTTTTTTTGAGAATTCTCAAAAAACATAGGCAGTGCAGAGCTCCCTCCCAGCAGGCCCAAGCAGGAGGGGCATGAGAGTTCATCAGCATTGGTGCCATCGAAGAGAGCGACTGGGGTAGTAGGGGGGTTTGAGAGGGGTTGAATGGGTTTAAGGGGCATGTAGGGAAGAGAGACCATCAGCAATGCAGAGCTGTCTCCCAGCAGGCCCAAGTGGAAGAGGTTTGAGAGGTCTTCAACGGCATTGGTGCCGTTGAAGAGAGTGACTGGGATAAACAGAGGTATGGAATGGTCAATGGGAGGCACAAAGCAGTTGAGTGGGGTTGAGGGCAGTTAAGAGGGGTTGCGGGGTCATGTTGAGATGAGAGGATACCACCAGCAGAGTAGAGCAGCTGGCTTGCCCAAGCAGGTAGGGTCTGATCTGAACTGAACGGTCTACTGCAACTGTGCGGTTGATATGGGTGCCTAGAAACTTAGGAAGTGGTTGAGATGGATAAAGGGGTGCAAGGAGAGAAAGGCACAGGAGCAGATGAGATTTGGGTTTCCGGGCCTTAGGGTATGAGAAGCAGCCAGGAACCCAAAGAGGTAGGGGCCTGAAAGGTCATTAAGAAAGTGAATTGGGTAGTAGGGGTGGAGAGGGGTTGAGACAGGTTGAAAGGGCACGTTGGAATACGAGACTATCAGCAGTGCAGAGCTCCCACGAAACGAAAAAGACAGACGCATGGGTGAGAGGTCGTCAGCATCCGTACCGTTGAACAAAGTGACTGAGACGAAAAAGACAGACGCAGGGGTTGGGGTGGGAGGGGAGGGAGGGGTGAGTCTCAGAGTTTGGGGTTTAAGAGTTAAGATTAGGGCATGAACAGCAACCAGGACGGGTGTGAGAGGTCATCAGCATCCGTACCATTGGACAGAGTGACTGAAAAGACAGGCAGGGGTACAGAGGGGTGCACTGCAGGGCTTTAAGTTGCATTGGTATTTTGCAATAAGCTGTCCTGCTTTGGCTGAGAGGCCCAACAGCTCTAGTTGGTTCAATAAATTTGCAATTCGTCATCAGCGTTTGTAGCATGGATCGACATGAGAGGCCAGGGCGAAGCAGGGACATGGGCGTGGGGAATAGGAGAACATAGTGAAATGGGGAGAGGGGCCAGATGAGCTAGTGCAGAGGCAACGGATGGGGAGAGGGCTAAAGAAGCAGGGGCAAAGACAGCCGGATTTTTGGACGGAACGGGGGACAAAGAGCAGCAGTGTACTTTTCTCAGTGATGAAAGAGCAATCGAATAAAAGATTGGGTTTTACTGTACACTCCAGGATTTCACATCTACCCATACGGTACTAGAAGCTGTTTGGGGTGTACTATAGGCTGCACTGATGTGCTTGCATTGCATTCTACAGTCCACACTCACCTCTCTCGAAATACAGCCATCGCAGTTGCCCACCATAGTGAGGTAGAGGGTTTAGAAACGGAGAGGAGAGACGGAGGGAGGTTCTTAGTGAGGAGAGAAATTATTGGTGATGAATTGGCATGGAAAGACAGATGCCGACTGAAAGCTGGCCTATGCTTGTGATGTGTATTATGGGATCAGCTTGTCATGTGTGCCGCCAAGAATTTGGATATCTCAACTCTACCACTCTCTCAGAACTACCAAGACTTCCAAGGTTCATTACACATATCACTTACAAATACACAAAAAGAGTGTGATGAAGAGTGTAGTATACAATGGCTAACAAAAAGAGAAACATGACACTACTTGACCTAATGCACTCAGATTACCATACACACTATCTTCTTGTCAGGCTAGAACTTTTTAAATGTCATGTCCCGGAGTCCATAGCGCAGTGCACGTGACATGCCATCGATCGCTTGCTTGGACCCTTTAACATCCAACTGCTGCAGCAGCTTCAGCTCAGTCAAATCATCCGGCAAGGCCTTCAGTTTCTTACAGTGAGTGAGGCTGAGTGTCCTCAACCTGGTCAGCTGTGAAAACCTGGGAGGAAGGGAGGTGATAGAAGTACTGTCAAGTCTAAGCACGTAGAGGCAGCCAAGCTGCGTGAGCGAAGATGGAAGCTTCTGCAGAGCCGTACACCCTGACAGATCCAGCTCGCGCAGCCTGGA